GCAGGCGCTCAACCAACACCTTCAAGGTCAAGGAGGGGCTCGGGGGACTTGGACCTTGGAGACAAAGGGAATGGAGAATATAAGCCAGGGCAATTCACCGCTCGATAAAACGCAGTTTGCTATTTTATCCAATGCTAGGTACTTGAAAGGTTGTTTTGGTGCACAAAATAATTGTTCAGATTCTTATTACTCCCTTGGGAGAAACAGCAGATCAAGTTGTTAGACTGGACCACCTGTGTGTGTGAAACCACAACATAAATATCGTGGTCCACGAGGACGGACTGCTGACTGTGTGAGGTGTTTGCACCCTGTCAGAGTGCAACAATAATAATAAATCACAATGATCTATGAGAATGTTTTTGCCTGGGATTTTAAGCACGGGGAATTCTCATCTTCTTGTTCCCCCCTATGGACTTTTAAAGTGTGAAACAAAACAGATAAACTGCACTCATTGGAGTCTGACCAGATACTGTAACCTGCTTATAAAATAAACTGCAAGGGAATATTTACGAAAACATGTTTGTGATGTCTATGTTAGACAGATATTTATTACAATAATTCACAAGAAAAGGAACAATACGAAGAAAAACAAGATCAAGAAGAAGGAGAAGAATACAAAAAAAAGATGAGGAAGAAGAACAAGGAGGAAAAAGATCACGAACAAAAACCTTCACATAAAGAAGAACAAGAAGAAGATGGAGAGAAACAAGAAGACGCTTTTTTTTTTTAAACCTTCAAGGGTCAATTCTGCTCAATGCTGTTCAAATGCAGTTCTAGAGAAATCGATCCTGATCTCACCTGCGCAGCCGAAGGCCAGATGATACCTGGAGGTCGGACTGAACTTCACACAGCAGACGTTGGCCTTGGCCTCGATGCTGGCCACAGAGTTGTCAAGATTGGTCGACCATAACTTCACTGAAACACAAGAACAAACAAAAACAATTCACCATGACCTGGAAGATGTAAGTCTTGAAAACTGTCAGAAAAAAAGCATTTATCGGTTACCTTTAGCATCATCAGAACCGGAGGCTAACAGCTTTGGGTCCATCAGATTAAAGTCGACACTCCAACACCTTTTTTCATGTTCCTGGAGAACAAGAGAAAAGAAACCGTATACAAGGGACATGACAGATTGGAAACAGATCACAAACAAAGGAAATCTATATGATATAATGATCATACCTGGTAGACTTTGGACCTCTGGCCTGTGAACCCGTCCCACAGGATCACAGTCCCCTCATAGTCACTGCTGGCCAGAAGGTTCTTGTGATAGCTGCTCCAGCTGATACAGCTACAACCAAACAAGGTCGGGATTACTTTCACTTTAAGATGTAAGCTCATAACTTGTCACCTTCTTAATAAGTGCTCCATTTCATATTTCTTTAGACTAGGGCCGTGGTTTTTAGAACAACAGGGATTTGGATATTTTAAGTGGGCTTGCATCAGTCTGTCAATGAAGTAAAACAACATTAATCTTATCCCCTTAAAGCCCACCGTAAAATAAAAATATGACATATTGAAAATCAGTACATTTGAGAGCCTGTTTGTGTCGGATTAACCAAACAAATGATCAAATCAGAAGACCAGTATTCATAGTGTTCTGCAATGCAAAATGACCATTCTTGTCCAAAAGGAAGTCCAATAGCTTTGAAGAGACCATAGATAATGGTTTCAGTTGTTCTGTCGGAATAAATGAACATTATCTATAAATACAAAATACTTAAACTGATATGAGTTTATCAAAATATAGGGACATTCTTTTACATCTAAAACATTGTAGGACATTTATTTCCTCTACCTGATTTTGGAATTGCAGGTCATTTCATTAACAGGGTAGTGGATGTCCACGGCGTCCTGGATCACTGTGCCGTACTCAAACACCTTGATCTTCTTGGTCACACCGGCGATGGCAAAGTAGTCACAGTCACGGTCAAACTCAATACTGAAACACAGGATAGAATACTTGTCAGGATGGATAAAAACAACAGCATAACAACTCTAATATCACACATTGAGCCTTCAAAGATCAAGGCCACAAAGTGCGTCGGACTCGTGTTCAAGGTCATTTTATGTATTTTTTGTACCTGGAGACAATACTGGAGCCGTTGTACAGGTCGCTGGCGTACGAGAGGGTGGCGAGCGGCCGCACAGAGTTGTAGCGGGTGAACTTTGACAGGCACTCCATGAAGTCATCCAGCTGGTTCAGGTTCCTGCCTTCATCTGAACACACATTATTAAAAAACTGTTCGATAAGAGCAATAGCCGCATTCACACCGCAGGACTTTCCCTGGTACTTTGGTTCTTTAGTTCCGTTAGTACCAATAATGTCACGTTCACACCGCCGGGACTACTCAGTGCCGGGAACTCTTTTGGCCATTTTCAGGTCACTGCTAGAGAGGTGGTACGAACCTGGTGATAAAAGAGTGCCAATTTCTATTCTATTTCTATTGGCTGGGCGAATTGCAAACCACGCCCTGTTAGACCCTGAATTTTTTTTGTTAGGCAGCCATTGTTTTCCTCGCTACAAAACCACATCCACACCTGAGCGAGTCGTTTTTTTGTACTTTAAAGCAGTTATGACCACACGTACTACAACACCGGAGCAGTGGAATGATGAGGAAGTGTCGGCGCTTCTGGCAATTTACTCTGAGGACGGGATGCAGCAGCTTCTACAGAAAGCAGTTCCCGACTCCAAAGGTTTTGAGCGGTGTCCGCAAAAGCTACTTGAGCGGCGTGATGCCGTGATTGTTATGTCTTGACTTTGCAATAAAACAAACAAACTGGTGAAGCTTTATTTATTGTGTCCCACCCCAAATTTGCAGAATAGANGTCTGTTAGACAAGCAGAGATGCGTGCGACGACCTGGGTCTCTGAGCGGGGAAAGGACATAATTAATTGGGTGTCGTCAGCATAGCAGTGGTATGAAAAACCATGCGGGCTAATGACTGATCCGAGCGAGTTTGTGTACAGAGAGAAGAGGAGGGGACCGAGGAAAGAGCCCTGAGGGACCCCTGTAGTTAATTGACAAGGGTCGGACTCTGACCCTCTCCAAGTTACCCTGTGGGTACGGTCTGAGGTATGAGGTGAGGAGAGAAAGTGCAGAGCCTGAAACTCCAAGTTCTTGGAGAGTGCGAAGGAGGATCTGATGATTCACTGTGTCGAATGCAGCAGACAGGTCCAGAAGGATGATGAGTTGGTGAGGTCCTGATAATTTATTCCGGGAAATTACTCTGACCTACTAATTAACCTAACCGAAGTTATTGAGTCTATGTAAGTTTACTGGTTGGCTCAGATCCACCAACGTCAGCAATATCTCACCTCGATTAACTCCCCAAAGAACCAGGTTCAATTAACAGCTGTTTCAATTCAGACAACTCTCTTAAATCTGTTTAAGCAATCCCGAAGGATTTTGATATCAGTAAATGAGGTGTGGCCCTACCAGGGTGCAATCTAACCTTTGAAGCAGGAGAGGAGAGCGCAGATGTCTTTTAAGTTGTCCCAGTCCAAAAGGTGGGATCAGTTTATTTGAAAAAAAATAAGTCCAAACTAATACAGGGTTTTTACCTTCTCTCTTTACAATTATAATTGTACTGAACATATCATGCTTTGGTTATTCTCTAATCTAAAACCTTACTTCAGTTTTACATTTATCACCAAAATTGTAATTTTAACTGCCCAATTCAGTTGTGATTTTAAATCTCCCGATAGAATTTAGAGGCATTTCCTCATAAATGACCGGTGATAATAAAAAGCACATTCAAACTTTCATTTTCACCCAATCAATTCACATCAATTTCATACCTTTTTTCCGACACAGACGGCGGGAATAACATTCAAAAACCCATTCATATCCGCATGAATTCGGAGGAAGATTCCTCACAGGTGGCGGGCCTAATATTCATAGACGTTTCTTCCGACACAGATGGCGGGAATAACATTCAAAAACCCATTCCTATCTGCATGAATTTGGAGGAAGATTCCTCACAGGTGGCGGGCCTAATATTCA